CGTTAGCATCGGCCCCGCGGCTGCTGGCGACGCTGCGGGAGCCGCCGCGATTCCCGTGCCGGGAGTGCCCTTGGCTGGGCACCGCTGAGCTGCCGAGCCCTGGCCCCGCTGCCCCCCACGGGAGCCTTCCCCGCTAAGCCTCCCGCACACTGGGGGTGACGGGGACCCCTCTCCCCTCGCTCTTTCTCGCTGGTTCACTGTACTTTACTTTCTCCCCGCCGCATTCCCCTACACTTAAGGCTGTGTTTCCCATCAAGTTTTCACACCTCCTCTTCCAGCCATGTGGTTAGCGTATCATCCCTCCTCTAAGCTGTTTCTTTCCTCCCCGTTTAAACATTTTACCCTTCTGGAGGGCATCCTCCCACCTCGATTGCTCAGCCATCCTCGCCTTTGTCCTGGGATCGCTGCGGAGGATTTCTCCATCCATCCTCCAAGGAGCATCAGTCAGCACGCATTGCTCACGCAGAGCTTCGCTGGAGCTCCAGCGAGGCCCGCAGGCTGCACATCCCTCTTGAGCGGGTCCCCAACCCACAGCTCCAGATGCTTTCAATGTTAGTAATAACTGGGGGGATGATGTTCCTTTCCCATCTTACTGCATCTTCCCCGCCGACCTGCGTGATCCAGACGAGCTGAGCTCATCGGTACCGCACCCAGCGCTGCGCGTGCCCACGGCGGCCACGCATCGAAGGCAGCCCCCAGAGAGCCCTGCTAACCATATCATGTCTCGTTAGCTAATGAGCAAACACAGAGCAGCCCCAGCTAGTCCTGCCTGAGGTGGAGACCAAATCGCACGCAGAACCCTGACTGTCCGCAAAGCTTAGCAGGCACAAATTATTTTCAGATGTTTCTACCACATAAACAAGGAAAAGAAGCATCGAGTAATGCAGGGCCCTTCAGCATCTCCCGGGAGGAACGCTCTGGAGCTGGAGTAGGAATCTGACCCACCCCTGCTCGTTCTTTGCCTCCTGCCAATAGTATGTGCAATTTGCAACAAAAGCTCTGTCACTGAAACGTGACTTCTTGCTCCTGTAGAACACTTGCAGGCACTGCTGCTAACCCCATCCCACAAATTCTTGTTCCCCAGTGCTTCCCTGCCCAGCTCCCAGACTCTGGATTCTTTTAGCCAAGCTGCAGGAATCTGCAGAGCTGGATAAAATCTACCCTGTTGGTAAAGAATACACCTACCTTGCTGCCATCACCAGCCAGGGTGGTTCTCCTTCGGTGCACTGAGTCCTCCTAGCCTAAAATAGATGGAATGAGGTGACTTAAGGCCAAGTTCTGACTGCTCAAGCACGAGATGGTGAATGGCAGCAGTTCAGTGTTGACCACCCACTATTCCTGGCCTGGAGCAGGTCATCTAGCCCAAAAACCTTGTTTGTTTTCTCCCTCTTCAGGGAATACTTCTATTTGAAATGTGGCCTCTGAGGACCAGCTGAAGGAGATCTCTTTCCTGATGCTTGTTATGTTTAAGGCGAACACGTGATTACATGAATTTGCTTCATTCTTCTCTGCTGGAAACTGGGATTTCCTCCCTACTTGCAACCCATGAGAAAGTGTGATCTTTGGTTAAAGACCCAATGAAATAGATATCCATCAGCACTTTCACTGTTGCAGCTTGCTAAAACTGCTTCAAGGCCTGGTGAGCCACACACCTGCCTGCTTCCAGCCAGGCACTGCTGGGTCTGCACCAGCCAGGAGGGGTGCAGAATGGCCCTCAGGTACTGGACAGAACTGATCAACAGCTCATCTCCAGCTGCATCCCCTCCTGCATGCACATTTGTCTGCAGCACTCCCTGGAGCTCTGATCCTGTGTCACCAAGTGTTAAATTGTGGCTCTACTGAATGTGGATTATAATCCAAGCAGGGCAATGGTGGTGTTACAGCCTGTGTGCCCTGCCTGACAGTTTTGTGAGGACAGCTAGGACATACCAGGAGCAGAGAGGTCTGTTTTTATCAGGATCACTGTTTCCCTAGACAGATGATTCAATTCCAACCTGCTTTGTTCAGTGTTTAGGCCAAGAAAGCATCCCAGTACCTGCAAGCACAGCAGAGAGCATCAGATTGCAGCCTTGACCAGTAAAAACAGAGCTCCCCTTGCCCTCTGGAAATACACGGGCTTTGCAGTGCCTCCTGTGCTGACACGAAGCAGCAGCACAGCCCTGGCAGCTGTCCTAGCAAACAGGGAAGAGGTCCAGAAAGGCCTGGGATTTCTTCTGGGGAGGATTAATAACACAGAAACCCAAGTGAAGTCCCACGGAGTTTCAAACGCAGGTGGCCTGGCCAGGAGCCAGAGAGGGAACTGCCAGGAGGGAAAGGACGGGGATTCCCTTTGGGGAATGCCTTTCCAGGGCAGAGGGCTGGACCTGCAGCCCCTTGCTGGGGAGCAAACCAGGTTTCTGGGTACTAGCAGCTGATCAGGTTTTCACCCCCAGCTGCACATGGGTGTGTGGGATCCTGGGGATAGGAGAAGTGTGGATGGTACAGCAGGATCTGTTCACCAGAGCTGCTACAGAAATATCTCCCCCTGATCCTTACTAACCTGCAGCTCCTGGTGTGCAGCTGGCCCAGCTTTCTGCCCCAGGGAGAGCAGAGAGGGCTGCTCTGAGCACCCAGCCTCAGCAGAGCCCTGTCTCACACACCGTGGGAGTGTTGGTGCCCCCAGAGTGGATGCCAAGCCGGGGAGGGTGCTGCTGACCTGCAAAAAAAAATATTGACATTTTTTTGAGTGTAAACCTTTCACTTCCCAAAAAAAAACCCAAAGAACCAAACAACTTCTCCTAACATGCAGCTATGTCGCAACATCGATTTCCTATAAGCCGCTCAATTTACGTGAAGTTCAAAAACCTCAAACTGGGTGGAAGGTCTTTTGAAGCCTCTGTCACCCCCAGACAGCAGCAGACAGTGCAGACATTACTGTGTGGGGTCACACCCGTGGCAAGGAGGGACACAGAGGTGACTTTGGCCTGGCAGTTCCATGCACCTGCTCAGGTGCTGGTTGTGGCTGAGCTGGCAGCAGACCTGCAGGTTTATGCCCGTGGAAGAAGTTCAAAAATAAAGCCAAGCTCCATCATTACTGCCTGTAGCTTATTCAGCCCAAATCAGGACAGATAATTCCCTCCACAGACATCATCAGCAAGTCCGCCTGGGGCTGGGGAGCAGGAAACAAGCAGGGAGAGGAGCCAAAATGTTGATCTGGGAAGATGGTGGTACCCCAGACCACTCACAGCCATAGGGGTGCTGCCCAGCAGAGCACAAGGAAATCACATCAAAATTCAAGCCCTTCATTTTCTGCCCAGATTAATTGCAATTGATCATTCCTGGCTTTAGCCACAGGGAATGTGTGTGCTTGCAGTGCCAGGAGGAGGTGGAGGAGTGAAAATGAGATACAACTAGGATTTCATGGCTAGCCCATACAGAAATATTTATTTTCAATTGTATTTCACACAGAAAATCCACTCGGATCAAAATGGCAATTTTCATCTTGGTCAGCTCATTGAGAGAATTGGCCAAAAACAAAGGCAAGAAAAAAAAAGAGAAAATAAAAAAAAAGGAAAAGAGCATGTGTAAAGCAAGCTATGATTTCCAAAATATTTAGGAAACGACACTTAGCAAAATAACCTCCTTTTCCCCAGTTTACTTCAACACAAAAAGGTGCTTTTAACATACATATATATGTGTGTTTCATATGGAAGGAATAAAAATGTCATGGAAGAAGTAAGATAAAACTCCCAAAATATCACTTATGTAGCCTGAAAGACTCTTATCATTTTCCAATCCACTCTTGGCAAGAGATGAAATAATATTGCTTCAGAATTTCAAAACTGGGCAGATTTATTTCCAAGAGGCACACAAGGACTCTTATAAAGCAGTCAAATACGGAGAGCAGTGGCCAAGGGTGTGATCAAACCTTCACTGTTGGAATGCAGGCCTGGAAGAGCCATTTGGGGTCTTTGTTTGTGTCCCCCTCCCCGAGGCTGGCTATCAGATACCTGTGTCACACTTTATTCCAGCACTAAGAGTCGCTCCTGTTGATGAAGAAGAGCAGCACGAGAGGCAGGAAGATGCAAGTCAGCCTGCAGCCAAAAGCACTGTGAGAGGTTGCCAGGTGGAGCAGCAAGCTTTGGTATTGCCAGGTGGAGCAGCAAGCTTTGGTAGCCTGCAGCCAGTGAGGGCATCCTCCAGGTTAGCCCAGGTGGCTTCTAAACTGCAGCAGGGGACAAGCCTTGAAGGAGAACATTGAAAATTGGCAATAAAGAGTGATTACTGAACACTGCAGAAAGGATTCAAACTCAGCATCAGTCACAGTGAAGCTCTCCATCTCCTAAATTCCTGTATTTAAAGGAAATTGAATTGAAAAAAATAAAAAATAAAAACAAAATGTCCAGTTCAGTTACTCATAAATGAACTGAAGGAGTTCATAAATGAGCTGAGGAATTTTGGTTTGTCTGTCAATAAGCTACACTTTTGAAGAAAGAGCAGAGATGTGCTATCTTGATGTAAAAATATGAATTCAGTAATTGGAGAAAAATAATTCCCTTACTGACAACAAGCTTGTAAAGAACTTGCTCAGCTAAAATAACAGGGCTTTGTATAAATCCAGCAAATCTTTACACAGATCTGTAAGAATAGTTTTGGCATAGGCAAGTAACAAAGTAAGAAGCTGAAATTTCAAAGTAAAATCAACTCTGTCTGAGAGTCAGTAACAGAGATCCTATCTCCAGCAAAAATCAATTTAATCATGTCACCCTTCAGTTAGTTAGACTTAAGGAACAATAACATTTAGTGTAAAAACTATTCCAAACAATCTAATTTCATGGGTTCTGATCTAGACTTTGTCAATCCCCCTGTGCTGCCAGCAAATGGCTCCTCTTCTCAGTCTGTCACTGCTTTGCTGGTTTGTTCCTTCTGCACTATTCCTGATTTTTCAGGTTGAAACAGTAGCCATGGAAGAAGAGGGGGTTACCAGCTGCCAAAGGTTTTATGAGCTCTGTGTCTGGCATGTCTGGAGAGGGGCTTTGCTGCTTTTCGAAGGCCTCCATGGACAATTCCCACCACCTGTGTGGGTCCTGGGTCCTGTCCCCAGGCTGGGCCACTCTCCCAGGGACAGATCCCACCCCAATGCAGCTGCTCCCCCTGTCACTCCTGTGGCCCCTGGCTTCCAACCCTCAGCACCTCATCCTGCAGGGAGAGCAAAGCCACCCTCAGCTCTCCTCCCCAGTGCTCCCAGTGGCCCTTCCCTGGGCTCTCCCGTTCCTCTGCCTCTGCCCTGGTGTGCACTCAAGCACTGGTGCTATGCAAACAGGAGCGGAAGGATTATTTGTACTTTAACCCCATCAGCAGCGAGCCTACAAACATCTGTCAAACACACTGAGCTGTAAAGGCTCGCTCTTCCAGCAGAACTGTCGGAGCAGGAGCTAAGGAAGCTGTAGCTGCCCTTAGCTGTGGAAGCACTGCTGGAGCTGTCTGTGCCTTTCCAGACCTTCTGCAGGACATGGCAGAAAGAGGAATCTGCCAGCAGTTTTTAACAAATACTCTTTTTATGATTGTCACAGGATGTTGAACAAGGGGAAGGCAAGAAAGGAACGAAAGCCCAGAGAAAGCAACTGTTAATCTTGACTCCCACCCAAGCCTACTGCATGTATTACATTTTATTACAAACATTTCTTACAAAAAGTCCCCACGTGGATCAAATGATCCCAGTGGAGCAACATGGTTCAGCACTAGCCAACCTACTAATATCTGTCTTGCTTGGTTTTCCTTTTTCCTGGCACATGAAGCATTTTTAAATCATCTGAGCTTCCTACTGCTTCATGAGGTTCCAAACCAGTCATTCAGAAGACTCCAAAGCCACCCTTTGGAAAACTTTTGGGTGAATGTGTGACCAAGCTTTTCTCTTGGAGCCTCAGCTAAATCAGACTGTCCTGGAAACCCATTCCCTCTGCCACAGGACGTGACAATTGCACCAGTGAATATGGTCAAAGCTTCAGCTAGGCAGAAGGCAGGCAGCCAGCATCCCAAAGGGTTCAATAAAACAGAGTGTGTCTTCATTCCAAATTACAACAGAGCCCCTGGATTTCAAGTCGTTCACAAAGGAAAGATCTGTATGAAATATTCAAGCCTTTCCAAAAAAAAACACAAAACAAATCCCGCAAGTGCTTGGACACGGTCCATTTTTACATGTAATATACAGAAACTTCTCAAAAACTGGGTGGGGAATTGTTTCAGAAAAGGGCAAAACCTTCCAAACTGCTTGCTTCCAAAAGCCCTCTGAGCCCTGTGGCGGAGGTGGACAGATATTTTGCTGGAGTCCCAGTGGAATCACCTCAGGGCGCACGTGATCAGCCAGGAAAGGGCAGATCTGGAGTTCTGCTGCCCCAGTCCAATTTCCTCCCAGCCAGGCTGCAGCAGGAGGGAGCAGCGGGTCATCCCTGGGCTCTGCAGCTCCCCTGGAGCAGGGTCTCTCCTGTGCTCCAACATGGATGGTTTGCATCACAGCCCTCAGTGCCAGAAAGAGAAAGAAGCTGCTCACTGTCTCAGTCCTATTCTCCCCCGAATAAAGCCTTGCAGGAAAGGGAAGGGATCATTTCATTTCGTAAAGGGCAGCTGAATCCCCTCTAAATGGCCACATTCTTGTCCCTTTTGCAGAGTGTGACTGGTGCCAAACTTGGCCACAAAGGCGTATTCATGGCTTTTTCCTTCCTACACATTCAGGAGTTGAAAGCCAGTTTGGTACGAACTCCCCAAAATGACTTATTCAGCAGCTGCTTGCCAGTTTCCTGTTTGCAGAGCAGGGGGGCTGGGGCAGGGGCACGAGCCCTGACACCAGGCACGCTGCCGTGGGGACCCTGTGCCTCTGCTGCTCCCTGAGCCTGCCACAGCATCAGCCACTGCTGACCGGGCTCAGTTTGGGCAGAGACCCCATCACCAGACTGGCCTTTTCACCTCTGCTCTTGGTTTCACCACCAAATTTGCTTTTTTCTTGAGGTCACCGGTCCCTGGGATATGTTCCAGCTCTAATGAGGATCTTTTCCCTAGTAAATAATTCCTCCTCTCACCAAGGGAATGGAGCAAATGCTCAGCCTCAAGCTACTGAGTACTAAGGGCAGCCAGCTCCTACCCTTGCCAACAGCCATGGAAGTGATTATCCTCCCTGGGATCAAGAGACTCAATGTCTTGTCTAAAAACCTACAGGAGGACATTGAGGGAACAGGGACAAAGCTGTCCTTCAGCTCATAGGTTCATTTATAGCAGGGAAATCAGGAAAAATGGACAAACCTTGCTCACCACAATGCCACCTTCATACTGGTAGCCACAGATCCTTCCTCGTAGTCTCTCAGCTCCATCATGCTTTGGAGAAGTGTAGGAAAGACCAGGATAAGGATTGTCCAGATGATTTTATCTGGGAGCTGAGCTCCCAGGAGTGGTTTGGGGTGGCAGGGTGTCCCTGCTGGGCACACCACGGGTTTGCCAAGGAGGAGGAGCCCCTGGGTCCGTGCAAGTCCACGGAAAAGAGAGTGCTTGCTGTGAATGGGTCAGTGGAGACTCCTGGTTGCAGGGGGAGGTGATCAGGATATTTTCTCAAGGCTGGCTTTTGGTTCTGTGTTTTTTCACGATCTGTGACTGCCAGCAGTATGGTTTCTCTTCTCAGCCTCCTGCATGGCTTTTTGCTGGAAAACACCCAGGTAATGTCTGCAG